TTTAGTTGTAAGTGTTACGTAATTGTTAAATATTAAGGTTATTCTACAGTTTATTTCGTTTTAAGATTGTTTAAAAACCTAAACTTTAAGATTGTGATAAATATTTTGAGTAACAGATTTAATAATAACATTATTGTAAATATTTAAAATTTGTAATAGTAAGGGTTAATTACGAGGGCGTAATTATGATTCAGGATAGGCCGAGTGTTAGTTATTAATTTTAACACTGTTCGTTTTAGGTTTGATAATTGCACTTGTCTTGGTTTATTTTGTGTATAACGTAAACAATGATGACAACTGACAGATAAATAAGGGTTGCTATTATAAAATATTATATTCGACAGGAGTGGGACTGTATTTCGTCGTATGATGGACCAACGTATTCAATATCCCTTTCATTGGTTTATTAACTGACAAGGATAGTACTATCAAGTTGGCCATGCAACGTTGGTCCGAGTATAGTACGAAATACAGTACCAGATGAATATGTGGTGGTGTAGTGAATCGGATAATTTGCAAAAGTTTAAAAATGTAACGGTACCGTCAGACATTCTGTATTAGGACTTGGTATAATAAAGACGTGTGATGTGATGTAAACTATTAGTGTCACTTTTATTATAATTAATACTATGTTCCTTGGAGAACGTTGTTGTTCCTTATCACCACCCGGTTCTGAATTTCTGATACGGTCACTAGTAAACTTTTTAGACCCCTTATAACGAGGACCATATTCTGTGCCTTACCGTGCTTTGCCGTGCGGTAGCGGCTAAGAATTCTGCCACCCCTATTCTACTCAGGGTGTTTCGTAAAAGGCGACGTAGAGTTTTTGACCTTAGCTACAATATCTGCCAACCGTATGGTGGCGGTAATATCACCTACTACGATAGCATTTACAAAGAGGGTTGACGTCAGGCAGGCGGCCGGTCGTAAAATTATGCCAAATCCTACTGCAACATGATTTTGTGTTCAAACAAAATATGTTGCGGCGACCCCAAGTGATTGGAATAAGGGCAGGAAGATGATGATGATGATTCTGTGCTTTACCTACACAGGTCCACTACCACCCGCTGAAGCACAGATCCTCAATAGACACCACCTCGATATCGACACTACACGACCATGACCATGATGACATGGACCCCTTGGAGATTGACAACGATGGAGCTTCCACGTCGGCTGATTGTAATAGTATACAGGTAATAAACATATCTATTTAGCCTTCGTACAGGGTCAAAATTTAACACTTTAACATATCTTAAGCTTCTCTGCAGTGATTTCTGAATACTTTAGTTTTTATTTCATCAAAATCGGTCAAATATTTTCAGAGGTAAATCGTTGCAAAATCAAGTACGCTTTTTCATCATTTTCGTACTGGCGATCGTGTGAATCATGCCTCGTGACGTCACATACTGGCTCATTTGTTTTTGACGTAAAGAGGCACGTCACATACCTTAGATTCATACTATCGTCCGTGGAGCGGGGCCGGAACGGGACGGAAGATGCTCGAAGCTATCGTCCGTGGAGAAAGTTTGAAAAAGCGACGGAATTCGGCGCAGCCAGCAATGTTATTTGCATTACGGATGACATACTTCAGCCGAAATTACATCGCCGAGTTTCGGTGTGAATGTGAAGCATAGTTCGGCGTGATTTGTACGTGATTTCGGCGCTTATAGTGTGTCATCCCAACCAAAAACGTCGAAAACTGACGGAACAGAATTCAGCCGATGAATTTCAGTCGCGTAATTTCGTTCGTAGTGTGTCTACACTACTGCGTAACGCATTCGTTAGGGCTATACTATTCTACCTTCTATTACCTTATTGCCATACAAATATGGTTTATGTCAAACGGTTTGACAGACGCATCCGTTGATCGACAAAATTGTGATATGTCAAAATTTACCTTTTATTTCCCCTCCCAGATGGACGAAACCTCAATAGCGCCAAGCGAAGACATATCAGTGTACTGCGGCGCGATGAAGAAGGTGAAGAAGATGAGGTCCCGCGAGGAACAGCAGATCAGGGACCTGGACATGTGGCAGGCCAGCAACGTCGAAGTTATGCAGGTCAGGATACTATCAAATCAGCCTATAGCCACTGCTATACGAAGGCTTCCCTCAGGGCACGTCCCAAGGCACAATTTTTAGTCGCTTTCTTTGCTATCATACATCTGGCCGAAGGATGTCAAAAGCGACGATTGAAAAGGTGAGGCTTATACTCGAGAACCCGCTTACTGTACTGTCCATCGGTTCTGCGACAGATGAATCTAGTGAATCTACATCGAGGAAGAAATAAGTCATTTATCATTATCATTCATGTAGAAATCATCAATGATTTTCTTGCACGGTTTCTTGTGCAATAATTTACTGTGTGACCCTTTGGTGCAACAGCAGCAATTGCTAAACTTAGTCTGGCAGAAATTTGTTGCGTGGCCATACTGTTGACACTTAAAACATCGTGTAGGTAACTTAAATGATAGTCAGTGATAGGATAGTGAGAAGTAGGTATCAGTGTACTGCGGGGCGATGAAGAAGGTGAAGAAGATGAGGTCCCGCGAGGAGCAGCAGATCAGGGACCTGGACATGTGGCAGGCCAGCAACGTCGAAGTTATGCAGGTAAGGAATCTTAATGCTGGCTTAGAGTGGCATCACACCACGGGAAGGAATCCCGTGGGCGTCTTAAGAAGTGAATTCATGTGGATTAGAATTTTACTGACAACCTGCCACTAATATTTGTAAGACGTGGCGATAACGGAGGAAACAGGCGTGTGATGTTTGTTTATAAGTAAGAATTGAACATTTTTTGGATATAAACACAGATGCAGAACAAATCATACATGATTATCGAAACTGTACCTATAGGTAGGTAACTAGCACAAAAATTTGCCGTCGTTACACAATTTACTGATAAAATGGATTCATTCATTAAAATATTACAAAAATAGACACAAAATGAATGGGAAAATGTCAAAAGCTCCATTACTCAAATGAGAAAAGGCATTTTATTACAGTGGACGTTTCACGGCTGTTAATGATGATGGTGATAAAATTACGTACTGTCTACTTTAGTATTCCCGTTCGTATAGACTATATTTGACAGCTGTCCAATCCTACTATAAGACATGTCAACAAAGAAAAATAGATCTTATATGTCAGTCATAATAGCATAGCGGCATAGCGTTAACATGATTTTGACAGCAAGACTAACTGAAGAATGTTGTACACAATAGGTACAAAACATTAAAAAGAGATACCTCCCGTGGAAAACCATTCGATCAGCTAATGTTTTAATGTTCTAATGTTTTAATGACTAGTCCAAAACTTTGACCAAAGTCCTTGGGGAAAGCTGTTTAGTTGGATCTGTTGATCTCTGCTGGAAAGTTGATCGTTTGGTACCCCCTTTCTTCTAATGCAAGGGGCTAACTCCACAGAAAAGACGCGCGACGCGATGCACAACATGACATCTATGTCTGACAAGCGACCGTCAGCCATTATCGGACGTCGTCAGACGTGTGTAGCTTTGTCTCTTCTGTTACTTACATATGGAAACGGTTTCAAGTTGGTTTCAGGCCTCGCGATGTCGCAAGTCTTACATCTCCTACGATCACTTGTTTGACAGATGCCATCTCTCGTCTCACTTCTCACGTCTACTCTGTGGAGCTTGCGCCTTAGGTGTAACAAAATACCCTGCAAATCTGTTTTAAATTCTGTATTACGACACCGCCAAAAACAAGCGGCCGTCCCCTAAGTACCGATCCAATTAAGAGTACCCTCTTCAACCGACCTGCGTAAAAGTTGGAGGCCGATTTGAGAGGTATGGTACTCGTAATCCAAGCTATTGCGCAGTACGGCTTTCGTAATGGAAAATCTAATTGATCGGAAATAAAGTTTGACTCAACTAACCGATAAACCTTAAACAACTTAATATTTGTATTTAAAGACGGTCTATAACTTTGTAGGACTCGCGATTACTTTCACACATAATAGTTACTTTAACGGGTCTTATCGCGATAAAGTACGGTCGTTCCAGTAGGCCATATTTGTCAGCTGCCAAACCCATACTAGAAGACACAAACCCATCACAACTTAATATTTTTATTTAAAGTACGGACCATATTTCACACATATCAAACCCATACTGGAAGACATGTCAATAAATAAAAATAGACCTTATGCATAGCATGCATAGCATTAAAAGATCTTGAAGGCTGTCAAATATGGCCTATTCTAATGCCCGTACTGTTTGAGTACATAGTTTATGGTTTTCTTTGGCTTTTCATGTGGGACATAGAGTCGTCCAACGACACGATAAAGCCCGGTTTCTGAGTTTTATGTCGTACGTCTCACGTCTCCGTCTCATGTACGTCTCGCCTGTGGAGTTAGCGCCCAGGAGAACCAACAACCTTTGCTTACACACCGTTATCGTAAAGTTTTCATTCAGAAGTTTACATTCGATATCATTGTTCTGTAGATTCACAAGTAGATCTTATCTCTGTGCGCTTTTAAACAATACTACGACCACTGAAGCTTTTATCTGACACAGCGACGATGATACAGGGTGTTAGGGACGGTGTACCTAAAACTTTGCAGGCATGATTAGACCATCAAACTGAACAACTTTTAGGTACTATGAAGCCAATGGTGGGATAGGAAAAAAAATTTTTTTTCCTCCCATACAAAATTCACGATCAGCTGACTGACTTTGTATGGGAGGTCAAAGAAAATTTTTTTCGTTTCCCTAGTAAAAGTTGTTCAGTTTCATAGTCTGAGCACGCCTGCAAAGTTTTCGTTACACCGTCCCTAACACCCCGTATATGAAAACCTCCTATCTACAATGGAAAACCTTATATCATCGTCGACAGGTATAAATGCGATGCAGTAACATTGCAGTAATGGGACCGATAATAAGTTGATGAAACTGAGTTAAATCATTCGTCTGAAGAGTGTCATCTCATCAGTTCTTTGTACAGTCTGACACAATAAAATTTATACCACCAATTTAGAACCGCGGTAGCCCAATAATAATAGGTAGTGGCAAAGGTCGCAGGTTCAAATCCTGCCTGCGGTGGAAAATTTTGCAAGTTTTCCAAAAATTTATACCAATTTGAATATTCAAGAGTTTTTTTTACGTGGCTATGCCACTGGCTTCACATCTCGTGAGTTGAGACGTATTTCGCCATTTATGTCAGGTTAAGGTGCCTACAGACGTAGCTATAGACCTACTGGCCATTAATGCGCATTTACGCGCATTATTGGGCAGTATCGGTGTATATATCCTGGGTTGCCACCGTAGTCGGTTTTTCATTTTTTTAGTAGATACTTTTTTGGTGAAATGATAAAAATTATGCAAGTGGACATTATTATCGTCATTTCCACAACTAAAATAGAATTATAAATAAATTCCACAATTTATAATCCAATAATTTCACTAGATATTTGCGCTGAAAGAATAACTAAAATGGCAACATTATATCGCAAGATTAGGCGTTACTGTCCAATATATCCCTCCATACATATCGCCAACCTTTATAGCCGAGACGGCGATCGGATATATTGGGCACTATCGCCCAATCTTGCGATAAAATGTTGCCACCTCAGTGCAATTTTCCACTAAATTTGGTGGTTTAGACCTGCCCTTTATGGTGCGCTCACACATAACACCTTCATCTCTTGCGGGATGGGCAGAGCATAATCACAATTCAATTCCTTGTTCTGAAAGAACGCAATATAAAGTAGTTTCATCAGAGAAAATGTCTAACAAAAGTATTTGGTATTATGAGGATCATTTTTCAATTCAAACAAATTCAATTCAATTCAATGTTTTGTTTTTTGGCGTTTTCATTGTGATTTCGCCAGTGTCTAAGAAGACTGTACTGACAACTAAACTAAACTATAGAAGATACGGTTATGGCTTGAAAGTAAAAGTTGTTTAAAAGAATTTAGAGCGTTTGACTTGGGTACGTGCGTGCATACGGAGGTGGTGTGTGGCGCCCTTAACCTACTTCAGAGTTCAAGGGGGACTGCCTGCAGCCGCGCGCTCTATATCTACCGACCGCCTCGATTTTATATCCTCTCTGAGCGAGCACCACACAAAAAAATATTTAATTGGTTATTGGGTTTGATCTCATGGAATTTATTTTAGATTCTTTATTACTCCTTGACAATTTTAGTCCACTAAAAGGTAAAACAAAAACATTACGTTGGCAACCCAGGATATATATGTTACAGGCAAAACCCTTAACCAGTCATTAACGTTATTGACTGAAAAAAACAGTCAATAACGATATTGCCTAAGAGCATCAGTCAAAACCCTTACTGACTAGTCAAAACCCTTATTGACTAGTCAATAACGATATCAACTGACGAGCCCAGTCAAAACCCTTAATAGGTACGTCAGCCCTGGCGGCAGCAACCTAGACCTAGCTGGCAGGTCTAAGATCACCATCAGGTCCGTTAGATGGTCGCAGCCAGAGTGGAAGTCTACTGTCTCGCTCGCCAGTTGTCATTCCATGAGGACATGCCCAAGTCGCAGACGGCTCTTCACTAATGCTGACCTCAGCAGATACGTGGCTTCACCTCCCAGATGTCATAGACCTCACGACGGTGGCTAATGGGCTCCCACCCAGTGCAATCAGCGAACGAGGCTGTAAGCTTTCTTGTGGCCAACCAAGACAGACCTCCCGGTGGTTAAGTTAAGTTGGTTAGTTATTCATCCATTGTAGCGGGAAAATAGAAAATGGTGTAGCATGTGCTACGTCGTAGATGAAACATGTGTGGTTCCTTCGTCGTAGGGGGGTTAGTTAACCACGTAGCATGAGGATACTACGCGTCGTAGTGGGAGTTGTAGCATTTGTTACTTTCGTAGAGGACCATTCTCTGATCCTACGCGTCGTAGTATGAGTTGTAGCATTGGCTACGCCGTGAGAACCTTTCGTTCATACTACGCGTCGTAGAGAGTTGTAGCATTTACTACGCTGTGAGAACCATTCGCTGATCAAACGCGTCGTAGTGGGTGTTGTAGCATTTACTACGTCGTAGATGACCATTCGCTGATTCGCTGTAGAGCGAGTTGTAGCATTTGCTACGCCGTGATGGCCATTGCCTGATCTAATGCGTCGTAGTGGGTGTAGTAGCATATGCTACGCCGTAGAGGTCCATTCGCTGATGCTGCGCGTCGCAGTTGGTGTTGAGACGAGTGACAAGACTACGATTGAGCACACTCACCGAAATGCATCTTACAAAATATAGAAGATGGAGGCAGTCAGAGTGGAACTCTACTCTTTGCTTACCCACCGGGAGATCTGTGCTGGCTGACTGGTCTAAGATAACCATCAGTATCGTTAGGTGGTCGCCTATGACGGAAAGCCTACTGCCTCACTTGCCGACTGCACTGGGCCAGAGCTTAATAGCCACCGCCGTGAGGTCTATGACATCTGGGAGGTGAAGCCACGTACCTGCTGACAACCGGCAAGCGAGGCAGTAGACTTCCACTCTGACTGCGACCATCTAACGGTCTTGATGGTGATCTCAGACCTGCCAGCCAGGTCTAGGTTGCTGCCGCCAGGGCGGACGTAACTATTAAGGGTTTTGACTGGGCACGTCAGTCAATATCGTTATTGACTGATTTTAATAGATAAAATCAGTCAATAAGGGTTTTGACTGAGTCCCTTAGGCAATAACGTTATTGACTGGCTTTGCCAGTCATTAACGTTATTGACTGGTTAAGGGTTTTGCCTGTAACATATACACCAGTACTGCTCAATAATGCGCGTTAATGCGCATTAATGCGCATTATTGGGCAGTAGGTCTATAGCTACGTCTGTAGGCACCTTTAGGTTAAGTTTAAAGTCAAGTAAGGTTATTTGGCATTACGCCGAGGGAGAGTCCACAGCACAGAGATCCTAGTATTTCGACTAGGGGCTGTGCTGCGCAGTTTGTGTGACAACAGAAACGTGATATTTCTGCGCCACGTGGTAATTCGCTCGTCACTATTACACAATGTCAGATATATATGCTTTAATTACGATTTGTTTACTGTACAATACAGAATTATTCACTAAACACTCAAATAAACGAAAAAAACAAAATTTTAACCAAATCACATCCGCCATTACGGAATAGCAGCGAACGAATCCTATTCAAGAGTTCTTTTTACCTTTCTACCTGAAGTCAAACGGTATCCACAGAGTCTCAAAATAGTCATCATCATCATTATCATATCAACATCTGGATAGATTTAATCCCCCCCTAACCTACCTAATTATTTTTTGAGAGGATACAATTTGTTTTCTTCAAAATGCCTTGGCAATGATTAATTTCCCAAGAGCCAGCTAAACTTAGGACAAAACGTTTTTACTTAAAGTAGGAAAAACATGCGTATAAATGTGCTGATATGCTCTACCTACAGTACCTACATCTAGAGCAGGACTTATTATATTACGTGGTATTACAATTACGGTCCCGGTTGCTGTCTATGATCAATTGATCACAAACACAATGATAGGTACATAGTGGTCGTTACCCAACCACGTCAGAGGCCTGCTGCTTGTAGTAGGCGGTTGCAAAACTGTGACACCTGGGCTAATCAGGTCGTTGGGAGACTCGGTGTTCCTCTCAAAAAAGAAGAAGAAGACAAATTTCAATTTTAGGCGACAGGCTAACAACATGTCACTATCGTGATTATTCGTGATACATCTGTAACAGGCCAATTTTTTTGAACGTATTTTACAGCAGCTAACGTTCTGCCTACCCCGCAAGGTATAAATGCCTGATGTGCGGTGCCGCATGCCGGCAGAGTAGAATAGCACCACGCCCTCTCTTCCCGTGGGGGTCGTAAGAGGCGACCGAGGGATAAACCCTACTCAAACAGCCGTATGGTAGCGGTTAATCCACCACAAAAGCATTCCCAAGGACGTCTGGTAGGCGGCCGGTAGTAAAATTCAGCCAGATCCTTTTGCAACACGATTTTGTGTTTAACGAAACGTTTTGCGCCAACCCCAAGTAATTGGGATAAGGGCAGGAAGATGATGATGATGATGAGATGATGATGATGTATGTTCTTGAAGTACCTACTTGGTATGTAAAGTACAAAAACCTACTCGTGTAATCTTGATTCTCCACGCAACCTTTTTAAAAGCGTGCCGTAAACTTAACCCACTCTTAAGAACAATAGCGCCTTAAGTGTCTCGTTAAGGGGAGTTTCTCCGGCGAATGACTTTCATTTTCATGAGATGCGGGTAACTTGAAACTTTGAAGAACACTCTTGAAGAATGTTGTAAAAGAGAACGGCTTTTTTCATTAGTGTTTTCCAAAGCGGTTTTACTACAAATTTAGAGAATGCAAAATCGGTCCTAAATAACCGGTTTTATTATTTGCGTGAATTAAACTTTAAAAACTATATATATTTTTAAACCATAACAGCCACAACAGTTCACAGCTGGACATGGGTCTCCCCCGATCGGGCGGTTGGCAGGCGGATTGGCGAGCGCAGCGCAAGATGTTGCATACGTAATGCGTAATTATTTACGCCGTGTGATAACGGCTTAGAATTGCATCAGGGAATGGGCCGCAGCGTTCCCTGTGAATAAAAGTGCAAAATGCTTTGGTCTCGTCAACCTACCAGCCAAGCGTGGTGAGAATGGCATTACCCCCCGATACGGGTAAGGCGCATGTCCAGCAGTGGACAGTTGTGGCTAAACGTGAGGACATTAAAATAAAATTGAGCCTATATTTTGTTTGTTACAGAACCTCCTAAGCCGCAGTGGGACGCTCGACGAGCAGATCAAATGGGAAGCGATCGCGACAGCCCGAGGGCTTTGCACGCTTACCGACAGCTGCACATGTTCCGACTGCAAGCGCACCAAGTACCTCGCAGGTAATCTGACAACTGTCAGACTAACAATAGTACAGATTTTACCAATGTGACGTCAGACTTGATGTAAATTTCCGTTTTGTACAGCTATTTACAATATAAGGTGTTACCCGCTTTCTTTATTTCAGGTATATCAGACGGTGATGGCGGATTAGGAGCCGCGCCATTATTCAGCGCGATCAGCGTGGGCTGCAGCA